GTTTCCCCAGTAAGGAAAAATATCTTCAGAGGATCACATAGAGAGAGATTATTTGTTACTGCTCATTGCTTTGAAATTGACTCTATAAAAGCAAGAAACACCATTTTATTTGTTTTAGTTTTCATAATAAAAATCTTGGCGTTTTTCCACTAGACTTTTGAATACCTTGTGGGGTCACTTCTTTATTCAATTGCTGGGTCTCTTGTTTGTGTCCATAGCCAAAATATTATTTCTTTGAAGTGCAATTCCTGAAGCAATTGTTATCGATGGCGTTTAGTGACTCAATTACTATAGGACTTGTGAAGATCTTATGAAAGCTAGATTAGAGCTTCAAAGCCAGTGAGAAATAGTTTGTTTATGGTATTTGCATACTTAAGGATAATGTCCCGACATGACAATTTGGTGAAACAGCACCGTCTTCCATGATTTGACAGTTAATGTTCACTTACATTTGAAAATTCTGAAGGAGACCCAGAGGCTAGTCACAACAAATGTCAACATAAAGTAATTTCAAGGTTTGAATGACTCTCATCATTGTTGTAGAAGCATCCATCATCTTTGATTTCAGCCAGTCATCTTTACAACATAGCTGAATGTTTCTGATCAGTTGTACTTATTATTTGGGCATAGATTCCAAACAAATCTGGGGGCTTTTTGGTAATCATTGGAAAAGCATTCTTTGGAAACATAGGAAGAAACAACAGGAATTCTTCTTCATGTTCCTGATATGTGTATTTGTTGTTGTTGTTTGTTCATTTGTTTGTTTTTTAATTTTTTTATTTGTCTAGAGTGGACACACAATGTTGTATCAGTTTCAGGTGTACAAAGTAGTGATTTGACAAGTCTATACGTTATGCTGTGCTCACCACACATACAGTTCCCATCTGTCACCATACAACCCTATTACAAAACAGTGACTGTATTCTTTATGCTGTGTCTTTTATTCCCATGACTCCTGATGTATTTTTGGACTGATATGCAGCATTCCTGATTCCAGTCCAATCATTTGGGAGAACACTAACATGATCAATTTTGGGAAACATTTTGCCTGAAGTAAAGAATATACCTTCAGATGTAATGGGCTATCTAGCTTACGAATGTCATGAAAGTCATACTGATGATACAGTGAGACCATTTATGAGCTAGGGGTGACATTAAAAACATTTTGCCACCATTATGTTGTAAGTACCGGCCAATCAGAACATAAATGCTGGGGTAGGATCCTGGGGAACTCCTGCAGTGCCAGGTAGCACCCCATTCTTGGGAGATGGTAAGACGTCCTGAGGAGCCACCAAAGTGGAAGGGGTGGAGGGGCTGTACTGATGGACTAGTGCCGGTGGTTATTTACCAAATGAAACAAATATGTTTTACTATTTTAACAAGCAGCATGGCCCTTCTGGTATATGGAAGTTGAATATGAGCCCTGTCCCTGGCTCAAGCTTCTCTGGGACGGTGGTTCTCAAAGGGTGGCCTAAGGACACTTGAGGGTTTGGTGAGATATTTTTAGGAGATCCACAGCTTCTCCCTTTTTCAATGACATGTCTGTATGAAGCTGGATTTTTTTTCATATGATTAAATCAAACAAAATATGGCAACAGGTTGGATGCTGATGCAGATACGCAAATCTGGTCATCTTTTAGTAACCTAGACAGTAAAGTGATTTGCAAAAAGGTAAAAATGCCATTATTCTGAAAAAAATTGACTTTGAAAGATATAATATTTTTGTTAACAAGGGATGGTTTATTCTTTTTTAATGAACTAATAAACAATCATTTTTAAGAGTATGAAGGGATACTAAGACCAAAGAGTTCGTGAATAGCTATATGAAGAAATAAAATGATAAGATTTGTAGAGCACTAACAGAGGCCTAATAGCCCCAATCCCTGATCATTCTGCTCAGAGTTTTGCTTGTCACTTGAGAGATTAATTAAGAACTTTAAAATATCCCTGTGTATTCCACTTATGCAAAAACATGTCCAGCAGCATATATTTGTATTTCAAAACCTTGCTAATTTACACTAATTTATGTGTGTAAAGTTTTCATTACTAGATTTTTTTTTTTGATAAAGAAGTGCATTTCACCATGCTAAAAGAACTGTTATGAAAATGCCACTCAGAAGAAAACAGCTTTACACAATACATTAAAATTTTAATTAGCTTATCAGTTGTCATGCTTCAGGTACTTGTAAGAGGCTTAAACATTTTAGGAGAAATCCTTTTCACACTATCATTTTTTTACCTGACTTTCAAGAGAGGCAGAGAAAACATGAGCCTCAATCTGTGCTACTATCCCAAATGCTGAGGCATTGGAATTGAAATTATCATCTTTCATTTTATCTAGGGCAACAATGAAAGGTTTACCATCATCTCATATAAAAACAACAACAACAACTGCAACAAAAAAACAAGCAAAAACAAACACCCCAAATGATCTCCTCATCAAGTTGGTATGCCAAGGGGCTATTAAAAAAAAAAAAAAAAAAAAAAAAAAGAATGGACTTCAAGGTAAGATTTATGTCTCAACCTTAATACTGGATGAAGGAAGGGCACAGAGAAAATCTCTCCTAAGAATCTGACCCAGAGTCCTTGCTTGGGTTAGAGTTTCAATTCATGAAGTCAGAGGGGTCAAAGACCAGCAGAGAATGTAGATAGTGCTCCCAGATGACTAATGAGAGCAAATGCAAATTGTCTTCTCATAATGCCATTGATTATAAGAGGAGAACCAATTTCAGAAGTGTTAAAATGTGGAAAAACAACAACAAAAACATGGGTCTTGGAAACAATGAAATACGGTAATTAAAATTTCCTGGTATATAAAAGTTCACTGAATATTGCTTACATAGGAATAAACTACATTACGTCAAACTTTATCAACCATGCTAATACAATTTAGCAAGTATAATGCAAGCAGAAATAGAAGCAAATATATCTATATACATCTAAATCTATATCTGTATCTATATCATCTATATGTATATAAAATGATAGGGGCACAAAGTTATCCAACATCCTTAGAGTATCTACACCTAAAACCACAATCGAGCTGTAAACATTAATATATGCTTATCTCAAAACCAAAATATGTGATAAGCATATTTTTAGTGCATGCCCTTTCTTTTCCTAAGTTCTTTCTTCTGAATGTATCTACATACTTGGAATACATTTTTATTGGTCACAGGTAAATTTAATTAAGCTCCTTTGATTTTCACAGTTCAACATCAAAAGGTATAACTCTTAAAAAGCAGCTCTTGACAACAGAGATTAGGGATGTATGTTTAAAACCTACAAGTAAATTACAAGATGCTCCGGTTGCTAACGTTGACACCACAATGCTTCTGTGGCAATAGCACACATGGTCTTTACCAAGATCTAAACCCAAAGCTCTAGATTCGTCTACAGTAGCAAAGTGGCAGCTTGCAGTCTACATTTCTTTTATGTTGACTGGCTTGATCTTGAGAAATGCGTAAGAGGGGGGTGTCTTGCTGCATGCAACTGGCATCTATTTTGTGGATGCGATAAGACAGGACCTTACGGAGACAGGAACTGAGCTTTCAGTCATCCCAGCTTTTCTGACTGACCGTCGAGGCTTCTTGGTTATGGTCTGCGATCCTGAAATCTCTCTCATCAGTGGGCGTTAGATTCAATAAAAATTTAAAAGATCAAATGAGTCGTTCTAGACTACAGATGTTTGGTATGGGATGGATGTCATAATGCATGCTATCAGAAATCAGCTGTCTTCTGGGGACGATGGAGCTAACTGCTGATCACTAACCCAACCCTAAAAACACAAGGGTCATTCCCTTTCCTCTTCCTTTTTTGAACATAACACAGACTGCCTTTCTAAAGTTGGGATATTGAAACTCTTTCCTTTTTCATTAGTTTCAGGTGTTTGATGGTGATTCTCTTTTTCATGTCTTAAAATAAAGAGTTATAGACTATACAATACTTGAACACAATTTATACTTTAAGAGGGGTTTTGAGACCTGTGTGGAAAACCTCAAAACAGACGACAGTCTTAGTAAAAAAAAAAAAAAATGGCTAAACGTTTTGCTGAGAAAAACCCCACTCTCTTTTCCTTCAGTCTCAGTACTGAAAGTGTAAAATGCTGCATCAAGTGGGATGCCTCCTAAATGAGAAATAGATGAAGTGGGTGCTTTGAATAGAAATACAAAATAAAGCTCTTCTGTTGAAAGTATGGCCTTGGTACAAAATAGCATTTATTCAAGTCATTCAAAAAACTCCATTCCTTTTCACAGAGAATAAAACACTTCTTGGAAGCCCAGATACCTTTTCCTTGTCTTCTTACAGCAAAAATAAGCAAAAGGAATTCATTCTAAAGTGTCACTGGATGCTTAAGCTTGCTTTTCTACTGTTTTGTGTTAAGAGGGTAAGTGGATCATTAACTGTTAAATGCCTTTCTTTTTGTTGTGAAAAACAAAACCCTGTGTACATCAACTTTTCTTTCAATTTAAAATTTTATTTCAATATAAAAAATGAAAATGTCATATCTTATGTTGATATATACTTATGTAAAATACGTATCAACACATTTATGAGCATATGGAAAAATATATAAAACACATATATGTGCAATGGTAGATCCCAAGAAAATAAATCGAAATTTTTAGTTTTTTCCAAGTACATAAACATTCAACTCTCATTACTGATTTCACTGAAAATATTTTTTAGGTACTATACAATTATGGATCAACTCTTTGTGGAGAAGTCTTTCAGCGAGTATGTATCAGGTTAAGGTTTGGTGAAAGACAGAGAGGACTTATTGTAGTACAGAACTGAGGTCAATTATGAATTCCTACATTCCTCCTCAAGTAATTTTATCCTGAGCACATTAATATAGGCCTACTCATTTGCCCTCTTCGAAGCGATTTGGTTTTCTACGAGACCTGATTTCATCAGGGCCCCAAATGTCTGTCTTGCCGCCATTTTGAGGAAAGCATGGGGCTATATTACTGAGCAAAAGTCAGTCAGTACTCACTCACCTCTCCTTCCCTGGGCCAAGGCCTTCCATTCTGGGTGTATTTGCTTTGATTCTGTCGCTTCTTTTGTCCTCCATCAGCGAATTTGCACAGTAAAGGCTCACTAGGGGCTGGAAAGATAAGAAACCAATTCTACATTAGCAAATCCCCCTTAAAAATAAGTGATTATTTGAGTCACAGTAGTGCTTTGTAATGCGTATCTTTGAAGTTGTCTTGCTTCTGGAGAGATATTTGGCCCCCTTTTAGTCTCTATTATGTTGGCTGTTATTCTATCTAACTGGGCTTCGAAAGAGCACTGGCAGACCATAAAAGAAAACAAAAAATATTGTTGAAAAAATAATCAGTTGAAGCAGAAAGTGAACTTGCCTTAGAAGCAAAGAGGCGAATGTCAACTCCTTCCAGTTATGTTAATGCTAAAAACCAGACAACGGGTCCAAAATGGAGTCACTTATGTGAAGTTTCATGTCACCAGACCAAAACCTAACTTAAGTTTTGGCTCTCCCAGAAATGGAAGTTTAAAGCAGTCAGTCAGGAGTCACCTGATCAGCACTGTTGAGGTAATTTACCTGATAGATCCCGGGTCATCCTCTGTAGGAAAGTGACTTTGCCATAACCAATCCATTTTTTGTGCCAATACTTTTGTTCACACTCCCTTCTGCCTATAGAAGCCTCCAATTTGCACAGCTCCTCAGAGTTCCTTTCTACCTGCCTGATGGGATGCTGCCTGATACATGAATCCTTGAATAAAGCCAATAAGAGCTTTAAAATGTACTGTCTCATTTTGCTTTTTAACATTAGAAACTTATTCATAACCAGTATTTGTGTGAAGATAAATATTTCTCCTCAAAGTTGCCATGTTTTCACAGTAGAAACTGTAGGATTCTATTTTGGAAAAAGATCCTTAGGAGTTTCCTTCTAAAATGGGAGCTATTTTGCTAATTGCAACCAAATTAGTTTTTTTCTCATTAATCCCTGCAATTTCAAAAAGGCTAGAAGTTGATTGTCCGTTGAACCTCTTTCACTCCAATTTCCCAGTGAAAACTAGTCAGTGTTTCAGGGAGAACAATTACTTAAATATTAAATGAGCCCACACGATAAAATCTAGACAAAGGATATGGCCCTAACAAATGAATCCCGGACTGGGGGGAAATGTGGTGAGCCTTGGTGACTTAACTAAACTTATTTGACAATTTTATAAAACACAACAGGAAGAAACTTATTCTTTGAGAATTCATGCTCTCGCCACATCCTTACTTGACTAGAAAAACTGCTGATTATTAGCACAAATATTTTTAAAACTGAATGAATAAAATAAATCCATATTGTCCTAAAAAACGTGGTCAATGCATTAACATGGCTGGGAGGATTTTTGTTGTTGTTTGTTCATTTGCTTGGATAAACCATATACTAATTTGTAAGTTTACAATCTGAAAACTAAAATGGACCTTTCCTCTTCCAACCCACTGGGAAAATGTGTTCTTCTAAAATGTAATTGTTCAATGTTTGAAGGGGAGCAGAATATACCATCCAAAAAATATGTCTCTTTGGCATAAGCATTAGCTTAGGCTGATTATTTTTAAGAAACAGCAGATAGAGGAAAAGCTCTGAAAACTGACTAGAAGTTACCCTTTTTTAAGAGACGTTTACATTTATAAGGGAAATCTCCATTTGTAACAGTGTCTCCCTCTTTGTATCTGGAAGAAAAGAGTATTCTAGATCTCAAGAAACTTATCGGTGGAGAAGTGAGGCCTTAAATCTGTGTAACAACCTTACCCTTGTTTACTGTGCTTTTTCTGGTAACCTCCCATTACTGGCCTCATTACCCCTTCCCCAACATCTTTTGTCTTTAGCTAAAGATGATATTTAAGATGGTGACTTGGACCATTTCAGAGAGTTACAAGGTTTTCCTGGATATCTCCATGCAAGAGATATACAAGTTATTAAACTTCTATTTGTTTTTCTCCTGTTAATATTAACATGTCTTTATTATGGGGGGGTCCCAGTCAAGAACCTAGAAAAGTAGAAGGAAAATTATTTTTCTTCCCCTGCATTATGCTAATTCTTTATCTCTCCTTGTATTCTTGCCTTTGACAATGTAGTGTCATTGAGTCCTCTGACTCTTGGTCTGACCCCATGTGAATTTCTCTAGACAATGAAATGTTAGCAAATGAGACACAAGCAGAGGATTGAAATGTTTTTAAGCATTGAGGTTTGCTTCTTTTGCTTTTCTGCATAGCTACGTGAATATGCCCAGCCTGGTCTGCTGCTGGATGAGGTACTACTGTAGATGAGTCATCCCTACCATCAGAGCCAAGGCCAAAGTAGATCATCCAATGACCACCACCCGGACATGTGTGTAAACTCATCTAAAATCAGCAGATGTACACAGATAACATGCAGGTGACCACAGAAAAATGTATAAACCCAGGTGAGGTCAGTAAGGCCATCCCACAAATATGTAAGCTAAATAAATCTTTATTGTTTCCTGTGACTAAAATTTTCAATAGATATGTTATAATCTTAATAGATAATTGATACCATTTTCCCCAACATCCATTCCTCCCCATTTCTACTCCAGCTAGGTTGCTTGCATTTACTAATCTGGATTCACGAGACTTTCAACTGTCTCCAGAATCAATAATGGAAAAAGAAATGAGTGGGTATCTACAAATAAATATTTGAAAATCATTTGGCTTTAAGTGGCAGTAGCATTTACTCAATCCTTTAGTTTATTAACAGCAGAATTCTATTAATCAATATTGAAGAAAATGACTCAAGTAGACAGAAAGTCACAATTGGCCAGGCGAAATGAAAAACAAAATGTTTTGCCTGTCCTATAGAGGAAGCATAGAATACGTAACTCCTCCTAGCTCACAACGCAACCAGTATCATTCCTCACCAAACACAAGTGGTTCCCAGCTGTCTGCTTTTAGGAGCCTCCAACATTGGTGACTTTGGTGAAGCTACACAAATCACACAAAGGAAAGGGTGAGTCATAAAACTTCTGCAGAAACTTGCTGCCATCACACTGAAGTATTTAAATTCTTTCTCCAGATGAAGGACTAAAAGACTAAATGCAATAAAAGACCCTAAAATTCTGTGCTAAAGAAAACTTCCTGTGATACTCCAAAAGCATATGTGTATATATATTCATTCCTCACTATAGGGTATTTTTTCTTTTGTCATTTTAAAATTTCAAGGTATGTTCATCCATTCAAATGGGTAGTCATGCTGACACATGAGTTTATCACTGGCGATACTACAGATTTCTCACAAAAGACAAGTAAGAAATACCTTAAATTTCCTGCTGTAAAAATTGTTGATTCTACCTTTTATGGTTCTTGGGATAATAACTTTCATGAGTCATACTTTCTACCATCTGAAGCAGGTTTCTCTTTATCTTCTCCTAAAATGGATTCTTTTAGTGTACATAATATACTGGTTCTAATAGTCTAGAATATGATAACAACTTCTCTTGAGGTCGTTCGTGTTTCTGCTTTAACACTTAGTTTGGGTGCATTTCAGTGTTAGGGGAAGCGGTCTGCTTCCTGGCTTCCTGACTTACTAGCTACAAGACACCAGGCACTTTTTAAATTCTTTGAGGGTAATAATGTTCCCTACCTCAGACAGCTGTGAAGATTAAATAAATTAATGTGTGAAAAGGGCTTAAAATAGTATATGGTACATAAATGACTATTAAATCCACGTTCGCTACAACTCTCACTATTGCTTAGCATCTTCATCAGCCACTGTCCATGCATCAGCTATGGAACCTGGTTACTTGGCAGAGTCTGAGTGTAGAGTGTTTAATCAACTAGGCTTATTGTTCACCAGCTCTGTCCCACTTTTAACTCCTTGGTGGTTTGGCCACAGAACTTGCAACTGACCTCCAAGAACATCGAAAAGATTTGCTCATTGAGAAGATCTGCATTTCCAAAATGGTTCTTGCTGACTGCAGCTTGTCTCTGGATCATCTGGCCACTACAGCCCAGGTTCCTCTCCCGAGTCATCACCGAAGTTTGGCTCCCATTATCCCTTTAATGTGATACAAGTCATGTTCTCTTACGTGTGTTTATATGCAATTGCCTACAATGAATGCTCCCTGTTCCTTTTTCTGTTGTGGTTTTTTTTTTTGTGTTTGTTTGTTTTTACTATTTTTTTGTTATTCATTTGCAGGAGATCTATTGACAGTTTAAATCCATCGAATCTGTATTTTGCTATTAGGATAAATACCATGCTGTTACACACTGTAGGCAAGAAAAAATTTGCTGTTTAGGGGTGCCAGGTGGCTCAGTCAGTTAAACATCTGACTTTTGATTTGGGCTTAGGTCATGATCTCACAGTATATGAGTTTGAGCCCCTGTGTCAGGTTCTGTGCTGACTGTGCAGAGCCTGCTTGGGATTCTCTCTCTCTCTCTCTCTCTCTCTCTCTGTGCCCCTCCCACACATGGTTTCTTTCTCTCTCAAAATAAATACACTTTAAAAAAATTAAAAATTAAAAAAAGAAAAATTTGCCACCCCAAAATGTGTCTCTTTGGCATGTATACACACACATATGCATGCACATGCACATACATATTTCAAGATCTTTTTTTGTGAAACCTTGGGAGCTATGGAATTAGCAGGGCAGCATTGGCAGGAAAAGAAAAGGCTCTGAACGAATTATTAACCTTAGGATTTCTTCTACCTACTGGCATAAAGAAATTTTACAGAAGGATCCTTGAAAGAAATTTTACCAAGCAACAATATTCTAGCTTGCCGAGGATCAATTATACATAGAATTTAAGATTCTGGGTTCTAAACCTACCTTGAAGATTTTCATTATTGAAAAGAGAACTTTCAAAACAATATATATATTTTTTATCTTAGAGAGAGGGAAGGGGGGGTAGGGAGAGATTGAGCGTGTGTGAATGGAGATGAGTAGAGGGAAAGCAGAGAATCTGAAGCAGGCTCCATGACCAGCACAGAGCCTGACCTGGGGATCGACCTTATGAAACGTGAGATCATGACCTGAGCCAAAATCAAGAGTCGGAGGCATAACCGACTGAGCCACCCAGGGGCCCCAAAACAATTATTTTTAACACTGAGGAAAATTTCAAAAGCTATAGGA